GCACACGCGTAGCGGATTTCAGTCTGATTGCATTCATTTAGGGGCCGGACATTTTGTCCTTTGCATGCCTCTCGACCTTGCGGGTCTTCGAGCTCGGCTTCTTGCCTTCGAGGCGGAATCGCTTGAGGCCATTACACAGCTGCATCGCAGGATTGACTTCTTATCTGCCAAGCTTCACGATTTTTGGGCGCAACATTGTCATTTGGCCCGCCGGGTCACCTTGTTGGAGGGCCTGCCTCAAGATACAGACGGGCCCCAACGAGTGATTGACTTGCACTCGCTTGACTAGGCCCTCCTGCTGCTGTCGCCGAGCCCCGACGCGCCGGGAACCATTTGGTGTCCTGACCTCGGTGGCTTGATGACTCAGAGTGAGGGCACTTCTCAAGGGGTCCAGAACGGGTGCCCTCGATTCGATTTTGACAGTCTGCTGAGTTCTGCGATGGACAGTTGCTCTGAGACATTAACACGGGGCAACTTGCTGCCTTGGGAGTCTGGTGTCTTCAAGCAGATTTTTGAATCAGAGGAGGTTGTGAGCTGGAATGACTCCTTTGACTTGCCTCCTTTGCCGGTGCCAGACGATGCAGGTGAGATCCTGCCTCCTGCTGAGAAGAAACGGAGAGTTGAGGAGTCTGGGATGTTGCCCGGGATCTGCTTCTCGGTGGTTCGGAAGGGTCCTGGTATTCCTTGGGAAGAGCAACGTGACCGTGATTTCGATAGGGCTATTGCTCGGTGGTCTTTTGTCATAATCAAGTGGTCCGAAGTGAGCCCTGATTTATTGATTTGCCGGAGCCTGCTCGACTGCGACACAATCGATGAAAGGACGGACGTCCTCAAGGACTGGCTGCATCCGAAGGCACCTGCAACGCTGCTTAAGCGTGTCAACTCGCTGATTCGATACCATAAGAGTGCAGGCTGGTCTGAGGATGTTTTTCCATACAATGAATCCAAGATTTATGAGCACATGAGTGCTGCCCGGTCAGGGGGAGCAAAACCTTCGCAAATGCGAGCACTAAGAGAGGCCATCATCTTCGCCAGACACATGTTTTCTATCCCGGAGCTTGATATTGTGATCAGCAGCAGGAGATGCCTAGGGGCGTCTCTTCGGGGGCAGAAAAGAAGAGCTCGGAAAAGGGCCGACCCGTTGACGGTCAAGAATCTTCGCTTGCTACACGCGATGCTGCGGGATCTGACTGTACCGGCTTGGGACCGAGTCTTTGCTGGGGCCACTCTGTGTTGCAGTTACATGCGGACGAGGTGGTCAGACTTCCAGCATGCCTCCAGCTTCCAATTGGAGTACGGAGAGGGGGGCGAAAGGCTTTTCCTTGAGTACACGTGTGAGGTTTACAAGACTGTTAACTCGAAATTCTTCGCTGGACAGCCCATCCGCTTCGTGGCGCCAGGCCGGGGCATTGTTGACGACAATTGGCTCGACTTATGGTATGAGGCGAGATTGGAGATTGGCATTGAGGAATTCGTGCCGCCACTGCCGACGCCGGGCCCTTCTGGAGACCCCACTGGCGCTTCAGTTTCCACTGAGGAGATTGCTCGATGGTTGCGCAAGGTTTGCGGTGACAGGGAGCACTTGCGAACGTCGGGACACACCCTTAAGCGAACCTTCTTGACTATGGCAACGAAGAGGGGAGTGGAGCACCTGGATCGTCTTGTTCTTGGTGGCCATGCAAACTCCTCTGGCATGGCTGACGTCTACGGAGGAGACGAGCTGGCCAGACCGCTGCGCCTGCTCATTGCTTTGATCCATGAGATCAAGTCCGGAATTTTTGATCCCGACGCGGGTCGTGCTGCTTATTTGAAGGGCGGTGGCCTAACCGAGCCGCGATTGGGAGGGTCATCGCCACCTATGAGGGAGCCATCTTCGGCCGGGCATTCGTGGCTCCAGGTAGGACAGCAGGGCAAGGAGTCCGACGATGCAACGTCGCAGGGGAACAACGACCGTCTGGACACGGACAGCAACCTAAACGGTCTGCCAAACACTCCCCTTGATGACTGTGGCGACACAGTCGAGGCTGGTGATTTGGACTTGCCCGTACAGGGTGAGTTTGGGGCCGGGGATGACGCTGCTGAGGCTGATGATTCAAGCTCCTCGAGTTCGAGTAGCTCAGGTAGCAGTGGCACTTCGAGTGCGAATACGGAGCCGGAAAGGGTTCTTGCCGTCCCTGCGCCGGCTGAGGGAACTTATTTTCTTCAGCACCAGCGGACGCGACTTTTGCATATGATTCTCAATCATAACCGTCGAGTTCTTTTGTGCGGGCGGATGGTCACAGATTTGTACAGATCCCCGGACAAGATCCGTTATGACTCGTCCGTTTGCAGAAACTGTAAGCGAGCCGCAACCGAGCTTTAGAAATTTTGTTGGCGCAGGGAAATCTCGAAAGATGATCGTGAGCGGCGCTTTTGACTGCATCACTATGCTGTGGCGCAGTGATCTTCAGAAGGGCCCTGTTCATCTTTCCCCGGAGTTTTTTCCTTTCATGCATTGAGATCGTAGCCGGAGACATGTCGTTGGTGGACAGCACGGCCGCGTTCAAGCAACGATGCCACGATGTTGATGGTGGCGCGCTGCAGACGGCATTGGAAGCACAGGGCATCACCAGCTTCGCATCACTGGCTTACGCGTGCGGGACGCCACAGGACCGTCCCACGCAAGCGGAGATGGATGCTTTTGCTACTAGGATCCTTGGTGC